TTCCCCTTTTGGCATTGCAAGCAGTGGAACGTCGTCTGCAATATCATCCCCCAGAACCAGGTCCCCCGTACAGAATGAACAAAGAAGCGTCGATGAAGTATTCTATGGTAGCGAAATATCAGTAGGATGGAGCAGTGCACGAGATGTAGCAATGCGCGAGCCGAATGTTCCTAAACTGATATTTGAATTTTCAGATTCGGACAAAGAATCGCGAGACAAAAAGTTTGTCAAGAATATGAAAAAACGTGGGAGATTTAATACTAACAAACTTTCGGATAAGATGATTGACAAAACAAAGACTCAGCAGAAACATCGATCTTCCTCCTCTCTGGAAAATAATCAACTTTTGTTCCGCCCCATTCAAAATGACCTTACTTCCGGTGAGGATGAGTTCTTCAACAAGAATTATCCCACCGGAAATCCATCGGTCTCGACAATTTCTCCCGATTCCGAAGGAACTCTAAACGATACACCAAGGGCAAGCGATGTAAATAATACAACAGAAGCGGCGTTTCTTCCGTCTAGCAGGTGTAGTCATCATTGTGATTCTTCGATGGAATCAGTAACAAGTTCTGTAGGTTATCATACACATCATACTCATTGCTATAGAAATTTCTCTATAATTTCTCATGATAGCACCAACCAGGTTCAGGATTCTGCTTTCTCAACATTAAACCGTCGTGCGTCATCAGAATTCAAATCGCCATATCTAACACAAATGGACGAACATACAGACTTTAATCAAACCCAAGATCGATTTGAATCATATAGCCACAGCAATATAAGACATACGCCCAGTCCAGTTCACACCATGTCGCTAGGCAACACTCCCAATAAAACACCTGAAATGTTCGAATCAACTTCTTGGATACCACCTTCCAGAACACCCACGCCGTATTACGAAATTTCTGAATCAGAATATTACCTTACAAGAAGTGAACATACGTTTTATTCCTTTATAACTCGACCCAAACCAGTTCGTTTTCAGCAGATTGGGATACGACAGCGTTTCTTGTCATCAGTTAATGCGTTCTGTACTGCGCGTCTGCTTACGTCAATCATAACTATGATTGTTGTTATTTGGTTATTTTACCCGAGTGATAGGTGTCATTCAAAATCTTTGTTAAATAACATAGCAAGAATCGAATTTATGCATATTTGGTCTATCATAGAATGTATAAATAGGCATACCGAAAGAAGACATATTGATATGCCACCCTTTTAAAATGAATTCAATCCTTGTATCCAGAAAACCATTACTCGAGGTTAAAAAAAAACCAACACTGGCTGTCTCATCTTGTACTTATAAAGTTGTTTCTAAATATCATCAACTCTACTGGTTCTAGTAGACTAACGCGGCCTCTCTTATGCTGTAATTATGATTTCAACAATGCAGTTACCCTTTAATGTGGGGTGTTTGTTTACCCGGAGATAAAAGTCCTGTTTAATACCAGGGTCTATTGGTTTTTTATCTTTATAGTCAGGCTTCTTTATCACTTTTTCTCTGTCCCAAAACACCAAAAATAGCTGTGTAGATCTATCTTCATTGGTCGATAAAAACAAAATACTTGTCGAAATTTGACAACCGTTACAACATCTTCAATAGAAGGCTTGATCTCGCTTTAACTACTTACATCTTTTCAAAGCCTTCACGTAATACCCTGCATATTTCGGCACTAATTTCGATTGGGTACAAGCCCAGCTTGTGAGCCTATCAGATTCCTCGGTCGTCACGAATACCAGGTCCCGCGCTTTCACACTAAGATGTGGTCATAGTTTGCGTATATTTCAGTATATCAGATGAACAAAGGTGTTTTTTTTATAAGCAATATTTTATTAAGATTTGTATCTGAATAGGGTGTGGGGAACAGGCATAAAGGTGCCTTGTTGTCTAACATATGCGAAGAAAAAATGCAACTTCTTTTTAATAATAGTATGGAAAACATACGGGATACCTATGTATGAATAATGCTATAATTATTGGTTTGGTTTTTGTTGACAGCAATGAGGTTTTGAATGATAAATGGTCTTAAATAAAAGCTTTTTGAGAAATCCAAAATAAGAAATGTATTATTGAACATAAGATTTATATAGGCTACTGTAACTGAGGTAGGGTATGAAATGGTAGCTATTGTCCTCGGAAAAAGCGACGGTATATGGGAAACGGTATAGGCCAAGGTATAAATCAAGTCTTTTAAACCAATCTAATTTACATTAGATTACAAAGAATATACTCTTCAAAAAAAGTAGGGGATATTGAAATGCAAATACCTATGCAGGTTGTGATATGATAAATAGTCATGGACACTTGACATGCTTTAAGAGTATGTTCACAGATGAAGAACTTTTAGCCCCAACAGAACCCCTGAGCTGCACATGCCTCACACAATGACGCCATACACGTGGGAGGGGTTCATTGTCAAATTTGACACTTCAAGGAAGGGTTGATGAAAACTGCCGCGTGCTGGTTTATCTATCCATGTTTGCTTTCCTATCGGTTATTGTATAAGATTTACTGTTTAACGTATCTTTGCTTTAGTGTGTTACGTTTAATTTGATCGGGAGACGTGTTCGTCGACGTCAACGTCAATCGACAACACTGCAAGAATTGGCCCTGACAAGGCAAGAGGAGTGGGTCAGATTGCCCCAAATCGTGATTGGACGGTTGATTAGGAGCATGCCACAACGAATTGCTGAATGTCTGAGCAATTAGGCCTACTCATTATTAAAACAAAAATCAAAAACGTCCATTTTCACTTTTTACGGTGTATCTCTTTGCAAGTGAAATGGGACCGTCCGATAAGCCGCCCATATGAACTGTTTATGTTCATGTGTAGGCAATTGGCCTGTTATTAACATACACTGGTTACCTCTAATAAAAACAGGAGTGCATTTCCGCAGTTTTGTATTGTTTCTGAATATCCCCTACTTTTTTAAAGAGTATATATGTCGCTCTCTGTCCGGTTTGATCGGAATCTTGATAAAAGTGCTAACCCCAATCTGCGTAAATAGAGATTTAGTAACGGTAATATAAAGTCTGTCCATCAAATAGGTAATTAAGTTAGCTTGAACCAAAGCTTGAGCAAAGTTATTTTATTGTGTCCATAGGACTGTTTTCCCACATGCGCCGTGAGGAGTTAAACGATAACGTCAGTGTCATGGAGACAAAGGGCCTTTTGACGTCATTTCCTTGTGACGAAAATCTGAAAAAAATTTAGTGCCAAGAAAGCGAAAAAACTCGAATAATTATGGCTGGACACGATTATGCTCACATCGACCAGAGACAACGGAATAACAACAATGAAGTCCCAGAGTATTCCAGGCCAAATTATATTCACGAGAACAACACATTATCCTTCACGCAAGAAACAGAGCAAGTCGGAGAAAACGAAGTAGGAGTCGAAGTCACAGAAAGTAAAGGTATGTCGACAGGAGCTGGTCAATATCATCATAGCCTGTTTTTACTTATTAGTCTTATTCAAGTAACTAAGTGGCTTAAGTTAATCTGTTGGTTAGTTATACACTTTCCGTCCGAGGTACGGGAGAATCATGTGAATGATTGTTTAGGTCACAAGGTGAATGTAGTTTCTAATCTAGTCGGACTGAGTACTGAGTAGTCCAGTCAAATATGTAGGTTAGGCCTACTTTTCTCACACCCGTAGGCTACTTCTTCATTCATTCAGATCGGAGCATCAGTATTATAGCCCAAACATTATAATTACATTTAGTTTAGCAATCTTAAAACAAATACGGAAGATCTAATAGTGTACCGGTAAATAAATCAACATTTTTATATTTTATTTTACTTTTAAATTAAAGCTCACTTTCAATTGAATTTGTATCATGTTGGCGGCATATAGGTTTTGTTTTACGTTTCAGAACGAGAAGATGATTTAGACCTAAAGGCTGGAATTCTCTTGCTGCTGTCTATCATGATATGTTTACCATACGTTGCCATGCTATGGAATTCTTTGGTATCTGGTGAAGGAGCGATAGCTGTTGCTAAGACCATTCTTAGTCAGACATTTTGGCTGGTTGTGTTGACGTCCGCCATTTTATTGTTTACCAGAGTGTATTTATCACGTAACCACATATTTAATTGGACATTAGACCAACTGAACGATTCCTTTTCTAGCACAAAATTTGCGATTGATCCTATTAAAGAATCGCTTGACTCTTCTGACACAGGCACGCAAACGGACGAGAAAGGAGACGCTTCGGAAACCGCAACAACAAAGAAGATTTACCAGTTTCAACTCAAATGTGCCCGCAGACAATTTTTACAATTAAAAAGGAATTTTGCGAAACGATTTGCGAAATTGAAACATTCCAAGCAAGATAAATCGATATATCTTACTCAATTGCAACTAAAGATTCCGGAAATGGAAAAGAAGGTGGATTTATTATTGGCTGAAAAAGAAGCCATAGAAAAACAGTATGAAGAGGAGAAACGTAGAAATCGTGAATTGATTAATCGATTTCAAAGACTCCAACAACAATTAGGAAGGGCAGGTCAACACAGACAGACGTCAAATTATTATTGAAATGTTAACAAATTTCAGCAATAAACCCTTTGTTTTATAGTTTAAGTTGAATATTAATTTGAATACTCGATAACGCCAGTGTAAAGTATTTTTGATGATTGATAGCCGACGTAGATTTGTAATTTATCTGAGCGCAAAATTAGGTCATTTCGGGACTAAGATATGGATTACTTTTATATCAATTTGTGTATTTACCAGGGAGAGAAAAATCGGGTGCCTATAAAATTCCTAGCGGGGTGTTTTATAAAGATAGTGAAAAAGTGAAACAGGGAATCAATTAGAGAAACTCGTGGTACTTTTTACACCAGTCCCATTAACAAGGGGCCGGACGAAACTGGGTACCAAATCTGGTAGGTCACAAGTCAAATGGCGACATTGGCCTCAAATAAACATTTGGTCTAAACGTATGGCTATACAATAAAGTTTTAAAATATATGGATACATAAAATTTAGAACTTATTTTTGAAATAAATTTATTAAAAACAATCATGTTACCATAACATTTTGCCTCCGGCTGATATCGCCGCCTTTGACTAGCTTTTCAACATCCATTATACATTTGAAATATTATCATATTAAGATTCGTTTAACACGGCAGCTATGTAATAAATAACAAAACAAGCATAATATACTGAAATCACTTAACATATAACAAGACAAGCATACCGAAAGCATACCGAAAGCACTTAAAGGGACAATAACACCAATAAAACTGGTCTCATAATTTTCGAATCCGTCAACAATTCTACCTTCTACTGTTCAATAAGCTTACTTATTGAATGGGCCTTAGAAAGTAATTATGGTACGCTATATCCGTCATAATTCCACACTGTTGTATGTTATTACGCATTTTTGTTGATATGGCCAACGTTTAAATCCGAAACAATATCTTTTGCGCAAAAGGGAGTATAAAGCCTGCTCCTTACAGCGTTTCGTTTGATTTGATCTATCAGGAATATGGTTATATAATTGTTTGTCTAATTTACAATTATTAAAACTATACTCGTGCTTCTCTGGTGGATTTTAGATATTACAATTTTTTAAAATTATACAGGATTTATTAGTTTTCCTTTGCGAAAATTAAGTTTATCCCATCAATAATTGAAATCTTGACACTAGATTATGTCCGTAAGTCACGTCACAATTGAATTTAAAGGTTTTCTGACTCAAACCTTTAGATTATTGATATGTGATAACATACTCTACATAAAAATCTGAGTGAACGAAACCGTTAGCTTATATAGTGTAATGAGATACTCGTCATAAATCTGACTGAATCAAACCTTTAGATTATGAATTATATCGGATTCATAAATCTGACCCAATTAAATCTTTAAATTATCGATATGTAATAAGATACTCGACATAAATCTGACTATTATCAAATAAAACAAATATCCTCGGTTCGTCATTGTTATCTACTGCTGAGTCATGAAAGGTATCCTGCTTTTTCTCATCCATGGGCGATGGTCTCTTCATTCCCTTTTTACCCAGGCAAGATTTACCAACCAGCACCTTGGCGACAAATATATAACGATTGCCGTCGTCATCCTCTTCGGTGTAACCATCGGATAATTTCGACTCCAAAGCAAAATATGCGCCGTCTCCATATAAACCATTCTGGACGAGTCGAGAATCCAGCCCCTGTGAAATGATGGATTTTACTATTTCTGGTTTTGTTCCATGGAACATGTGACGTTCGTTGGCTAAACCTATACCATATGACCTCTCTAAAGATTTCTTTTTTCTGGAAAAATATTGATAATGCATCGTCATAATTATCTTAGATTGTACTTTTTGATTCAGGACTGTCTAGTCGTTGAAAAACGTTCAACGTTCCTTTTGTTTATTGAAATTTCCCTGACCTCTATAAAACCGACGAAAAAAAAAAAAAAAAAAAAAAAATATGAAAGAGTGAAGAATGCTGTTTTTTTTCGGTTATATTGCAATCTCTTGCTTTTATGATTCAGAAAATAGCTACTTTTAACCGTACCAATCCTTAACAGACGGGTTATTGCTAAAGCTATCCAGGCATAGAGTTTCGTGGCCAATTTAATTTGTCTGCACTAAATAGTTTTCAACACACTTAAAACCAAATTATTATTTCGTCTAAAATGTCTGATTTCCCAAACCGTTACATAAATGTATGGTAAAACTATTCCACCTATCAAAATCCCCCGTTGGCAAATTTTGAAATGTCGACAAAAGGTATGTCTGTTGTTTTGTGCATACGTTTGGGCAGGTAGGCCATATAGAGGTCGACGATGCGTCTCTGGAAAGGTCGACGATATGGTTTTTGGAAAGGTAGATGACCCTTCATTGGAACAATCGAATATAATAAAATAAAGTATGTAAGGGTGTAAAAATTATTTTAAGAAACCCTAACTTGGTGAACAAAATAATAACAAAATCAGAGCCCTGTGTTTGACTCTCCTTGTTATCATACCCATCGAAATGAACACGGGAAAATAGTCCAAATGAAATAAAAATAAATGGGGTTTAACGTCCTACTGTTCTGCTCCTATGCTGGGCTAATGAAGACGGGTATACGCCATACAGTGTGCTATGAACAGTTCGCCCTAAATATCATGAATAAAATTGGACTTACACAGCATACGCCTCCCATCTGTCAATATTCTGTATCCTTTCTAACTTTATAACACGTCTGTTTCCAGATGTTTTATTAAACAGGTTCAGTATTCTTTCTCGTTCATCTGATGCACCCTTGGTACCTGGAGTTAATTCTACTCTAATATAACGATCAATGGACTTCATTGATTTCCAGTAAGCCGGAGCATCAAAATCAGTGCCAGTACCTTCTTTTCTTAATTTCAACCAAATCCTATTAATATTGATTACGTTGTTATTTTAAAATGTAACTTCACTCAACGAACAAAATACAAAACTACCAGACGTTTTTTTTTTTATAGCGAATGATTACAAGACGTAACAAAATTACAAGACGTTGTTTTATACAGTGAATGAGTGCGTTGTAGTCAAGTAACAAAACTACAAACCTTTTTTGTTATAGCGAACGCTTAATTAGTAATAAAGTAACAAAATCATGTGGACGAACTACAGCAACAATAAGTGGGTCTGCTTCAAAAAACAGGCGAAACGACAGAAAATATTTTATGAATCACTTCGTTAAATTTAAAATTGCACAAAGCTAAGATCAATACCATCATTCTTTTTTTTCCCTCAGCAATTTACATATTTTAACCCCTAATCGCTTCTTATAGAAAGGTTCAGACGCTATGCAAGCAACAAGTATAGGTTCGAAATGACAAATTATAATGTGTGTTTTACCTGTACAGTTCGTCTCTACGATCCACATTCTGGATTAAATCTAGCGGTGTTTTACCACTTTTATTTTTAATATCTAATCTGGCACCTTGATTCACCAAAATATAGGGTATATCTAGACTCTCATCAACAGTTCTAGTAAATTTAGCTACTACAGTCTGCAATATAATATATAATATATAGTGAACATCTCTTCTCTTTTTACAAAATATTTATTTAAAGGGCACATTTTCATTTTGTTCTTAGATGCTAGTTTAAATCAATGAAATAAATCAATCGATGATTCTTTTGAATTTAAAAAATGTGTATATTTAAGACAAATGACAAAACTTGTGACATAAAAAACTATGTATGAACCTGAGATTATATAGCATATAATTGGGGAAAAGTTGGCATTTAAAGTTTAGTGTCTGTTACAGATAAACTAATCACTGTGGTTTAAATTTGAGATTAAAGAGAACCGCCACGTTTTTACCTGATCAATAGAAACCTTTGTTACAGATAAATGTGCTGGTGTATCACCATTGTTATCCTTACTGTTTATATCGGCATCTAAAATATATTAATTTATAATAAACTTGAAGCGATACTCAAATAATATTAATGGGCAACAAGCCGGTTGTTTCATGGGTATGTTCAACAAATTCAAAAGTAAAACAACATCTAAAGATCAACAAAATCCAAAAACTAATAATAGACAAAAACTAATGGTCAACAAAATGTAAAGGTAGACAAAATCTAATGATAGACAAAATCTAATGATAGACAAATTATAATGGTAGACAAAATCCAATGGTACAATACAACTAAATGGCCAACAAAATTTAATGGTAGACAAACAGTGGACAAAATCTAATGGTAGACAAAATCTAATTGTCAACAAGATCTAATGGGAGATAAAATCTAATGGGGGACATTTAATAGTCAAAAAAATATAATAATAGATAAACTCTAATTGCTTGCAGTAAAGTAAACGTCAAATGTCCTTTAAATAGGTTAGCGATGACCCAGACCCATCTAAATAATATTTTGGGCTTTCGTTATTATTATATTTTTTTTTTTTGGGGGGGGGGGGTGTTATTATAGCAAAAATGGGGTTGTGTGTATGGTCGTAACACGCTGTGCTTTCATACACACGATTTGACTTTGGCGCAACTTCTGAATGTAACTAATATTAGTTTTCTTATCTGTGAGCGAGATGTCCCGGGCCAGGTTCAAGTAGATGAATTATATGTTTACATTTTATGTATAATGTATATTGCTGGGCATTTATCCTACACTATCTTGTTATTTATTATCTGATTGTGTTAGTACCTTATTTAAATATTATGAAAAAAGAAATTCATATAAATTGAATACTCAAAAGGTAAAACTTACTATTGGCTAATAAAAGGTCAATCATTGGTTCTGATTTTTTAATTACAGCTAGGTGAAGTGGTGTTCTACCATCATCGTCATTCACATCTACTGCATGTCCCTAATAAATAATAAGCGTAAACCATTGGGGAATTTCAATGTATAATATATGCATGTATCTGGTTTATCATTATATTTAAAACAATCATAATTTGTTAATTTTCATTATGATTTCTACTTGTATGAGAAAACTATAATGTATATCATAAACGTATAGTTATAGTCTAGTTTACATATTCTACGAAAAAAAAAATAGGGATATTAAAATCAACAATTTTATTTGTTATGATTTCAAATCGTTTTTTTTTGGGGGGGGGGGGGGTCCTAATATAACAGTAATGTAATATAATAGAAAATAATAACAGCAGATATGTAACAGTAATGTAATATAATAATATAATAGAATACAAATTATGTATCTGTGGTAACAGTTAATGAATATAATAGAAAACAGATTAAGTATCTGTGAAAACAGTAACGTATTATAATGTAATATAATAGAAATATCTGTGAAAACAGTAACGTAATATAATATAAAGCAGATTAAGTATCTGTGAAAACAGTTATGTAATATAAATAGAAAACAGATAAAGTATCTGTGAAAACAGTAATGCCATATAATAGAAAACAGATTTTAAAGTATCTGTTGTAACAGTAATGAATATAATAGGAAACAGATTAAATAGCCGTCGTAACATTAATTGAACAATATAATACGAATAGACAATTGAATTAATATATATTGTTTTTACTTCAATAGAAGAAGGTACCGCCCCCCCCCTTCACCCCGTCTATCCATCAAGTATGGCCAATGACACCTCTTTAAGCAAATTGTCTGGGTTGTTTTTTGGAAATTGCATGTGTAGCTATGTATATATTACATCTTGATATATGCATGTTGATGAAATTAATGTACATGTGTTACTTTAATTCCAAGCATTCATTATTGTTACTGCGATTTTACCTCTCTAATCATAGGTGCAGCGAGTTCCATTTTAGCATTAACAGCAGCAATATGTAAAGGTGTGTAGTTACCAGTAGATGTTTTTAAACTTTCTAATTTCTTCACTTTCTTTATTAGTCTTTCAAAAACCCTTAAAGATAAACATTTATATAAGCTAGAATTAGTCGTAATCATTCAGTGGCATTTAGCAATCTGAAATATAACAAAAATTAACACAGTTATATAGGACAACAAGCACTGGTTTATTATATACAAGCACACCGTTTCGTGGTACAGAAGATTTGTCAAAATGATATTAAACCATATAAATTTGTATTTAAAAAAAAATAGATAGTTTACCTTTTCTTTATGCCATTCAATATGGCACAATGTATTGCAGTAAATCCGGCTCTATTTTTTATATCTAAACGTAATGAGTCACGTGATAACATCATGTTTATCATAGAATCATTCAATTCATCCGGGTCATCCAATATTTCATGCAATGGCGTGTCTCCATCTTCATCCTAAGACAAAAATATATTTCGTGTAAAGAAACCAGATTGTTAAACCACCACAACAAATACTCTAATAGTATGTTTGGTTCATGGCGAAGTAAAGCCAATGGAACTATAAACCAAAATCAAGTATCCAATATTTAAATGTACTTTAAGGTCTATGGTTTAATGGCAGTACAAACGGTAAACATAAATATCAAGCTCAAAATCAACTCTATAGACCCTCGGATGGCTTGGACACAGCTTGGATTTAAACAGTCGTCCATTTAAAATTAAATCAATAAAGGACTGACCAAGCTAACGTTTACCGTTAGTCACAGACGTCACTACCGGAGACTAATGATGAAAGTCCTACCAAGCGATAGTGCCATTGCAATTGAGAATTCTACTTGATAATCGAGAATATGTGGGTGGAGTGATCGTCTGTCATTCAAACGATCGGCAATTCTCGTAGACGGTGTGGACACGGTTGATGCCTATTTCTAGTCCAAACTTCCAAAAGTGACAACTTCTTTCAGAATACAGTAATTTAACTGAAATTTTCAATATTTTCTTTTTTAACTAATATATCTTTAACTTTACATATTTGGTGTGCGTATTTTCCAGAACAAAATTGTCTGGATTTGGCTAAACATTACTTACCTGTGTATTAACATTACAATCTTTATTGACAAGATATTCAGCTATTTCATAATTATTATGACAAATGGCTAAATGGAATGGAGTCTGTTTTTTCTTATTAACTTGATTCACATTTACACCTTTCTCACACAATATTTTAACGACACGAAATTGTTGTCTGTAATTGGAATAAAGTAAGAATTAAACCCTTATAAATTAGTGCATTAATCGCCTTTACAGTCCTTTTTTACATTAGAACTTTTGATATCTTCGGTTGAAAAATCATTTTATCTGCAATTGACTGCATTCGATAGATCTGCCAATGGATTGCTGAGGTAAATGGTCTATTCTCTAGCTTACAAAAATTCAAAAGATAACCGGACCCTAATGAAAATCGCTTTGATGTAAATTTAGGCAAGTTCTGTGATTTCCAATAATTAGCAGAGGTTTATATGAAATTAAGTTTTCTTGATAAAAGTAATAATGAGTTATAATACTAAATACTAAATCGAACATGTCCCATTAAGATTAAATACTCGTCGGATGGTGGGGCCTGCTTGTGGTGGGGCTATAGGATGCAGCCGCAACTGAATAAATGTAAAAATACATTTGCATAAATGATTTTGCACTCTGGTTAAAATAGACAGAAAACTGATTAATCTTTCCTCAGCCATTTTCAAGCTATGCGTTGATGAAGGCCTGGTATTATGAGTAACTGACGTATATGATTTCGGTGAAATTAATTTCAAACTGTGACGATAATTGCAAATTTTCTTTTTCCTACATTTTCATTATTATGTGAAACGAATATCAGGGTATATAAATGATTTGAATCTAGATGCTAGAAGAACCCTCACCCAGAAACAGCCAGATGCAGTGGAGTATCGCCATCACTATCAGCAAGTACAGGCGATGCGTTGTTTGAAATCAAGTATTTAACAATCTTTTCGTGTCCTCTATAGCAGGCCATCTGAAGAGCTGTTTTTTCTTTAACCATGTTATCAACCTATTAAAAAAAAGTTATTAATATGAATAATTATAAATAACTCCTGACTATTGGGTGATAAAATACCTTACGAACCTAGAGTGCCTTTATTGTTCATCTTTGAGTTCAAGCGGCTGATTATCCTTTTTCCCCCACAATGTCTCGTTTTTCATCATTAAGACAGGTATTCCCTTTAGAGATTCTTGTACACTTTCGTAAATCGAAATCATGTAACAATAAATATAATGATACTTTCTTAGTTGAAAACTGACCTTTGAGGGGTCACGCTTCACCAATTTCTGGACTAGGGGTAGATCTCCTTGGGCAGCAGCGGCTACTAAGTCCCCTTTCGAGCCAATACCCATTTGAAGTATTTGTAGTACCGCCTCTTGAATGTTTTCTTGAATTTCTGATCAAATAAGAAAATACAGCAAGGTAACATAAACTCGTCAGCAGCTTCGTCGTCCGCCTAACACTTGGGTGCATAAAAGGGTATATTGGATATACTTATTTTCCCTAGAAAATATTATATTCCTAGAAAAAAGGCCTAATTCTCAAAAGCCGGGCAACGATATTAGTCATTATCAATCAAAGATGCATTATGTAAGAGCTTAATCTGCCTAATGCAGACCTTTCCATTAGCCCCAAATGTTATATAACGGCCGTAAATGAGGTAATTATACTGAAATATTCAACATATTCCCTTTTCATTATCTATTCTAAAACTATTATAGCGAGAACTATTATAGCGAGAAATGTTATAGAACCGCCGTAAATGAGATAATTATACTGAAATATTCAACATATTCCCTTTTCATTATCTATTCTAAAACTATTATAGCGAGAACTGTCGGCTCCATTTTGAATTCGTACATAATGCATCTTGACAAAATGAGCAGATGATAAAAATAATAGGACATCTCACAACCACAGACGTTCAGATACGTTCAGGTACATTTTAATAAATGACTCGGTGCCGTGTGAGGGACAGTATGATTGCTCTTTCATATACAACTGATACGGGTTACCTATCTGATACTGTATCGGTATTTGCTCAATTTTGTAGACAGTATTTTTGTTATAGAACAACGGCATATGAAAAAAATAGAGTAATATGTGTATCGTGACAATAAGAAAGGGTATATTTACCGTCTGAACCGGAAACAAAACCACTGGAGCTGGATGTGCTGCTACTGGTAGAAACAGGGCCTTCTCCATTGATGACACTTAACTCACTTTCAGACAATGACACAATATCAATAGGATCACAGCAGACCGGATTGAGGTACATCCCGTTACCAAGTAACTTAACTATTATATCTCTGTCTTTATCTATCCTTTCTACTTTAGCTGGTTTTCCCTTTATCTAAAATTGTTACAATTTAAAAATCAGTACAATACCAAATTTTAATTGTTTTAAATACATTCAATCTAATGAACTAGCGATTTGCAACATTATAACTTTGTGTTCTGTTTGGGCTATTTATTACATATGTTTTCGTAATTGCTCGGAAAAAATATCCTTACCGCTGACATTTCAGAAATCCAACCCCCATGTCCCTCTTGAAGCTTTTCCATTTTACCATCAGATATGTCAATAATACGTATCAAGTCTCCTTCCTTTAAAGAATGTGTCTGTAAAAATGAACAATCACTAAACTGATCAATTATGTTGAAAACAAAACTAGCTGTAATCATAATGTAATTGTAAACATACAAATATGAAGGCAATTGTAATTTGATCGATTACAGGGCAATACAATCGACCCATGACTGATAACATATTCTTCATTTTAAGATCAATTTGTCATAAATGTGTATTATAATCTTCATTTTAAGATCAATTTGTCATAAATGTGTTGATGTGTATTTGAAGATCAATTTTTCAGAAATGTCTTGGTGTACATTTTAGGATCAATATGTTGAAGCTAATTGTTGATGGGTGACATATTTTAAAGACCAATTTGTAACATAATATGGTTCATGCAAAGATCAATTACTGCCCCATAACAAATTCTGCACTGGTTATGGGTATAGTCGAATCTTGCTTCGCATGGTTTATCAAACTTTCAAAATAAGATACCAATTACACATACCTTTACAAGCAAAGGGCGAAATATTGTCCACTTTTGTAGATCTCGGTATTGGATAACAACTAAACGATTTTCTTTTAAATCTATAACAGTACCTTGCTCACCAATATACTGAAATTATTATAAGTTCCATACTATATAATGCAAACAAACACCTTTTATTGTTATACAATTAAATATGGAACCCGCGGAACGGAGATTTCTTATTATTCAGGATAATCCATGCCAATTTTGTTTGAATATAATTTAAATTTAAGAAGTTAGAAATACTAACCATGAAATTCTTGTACATCATACAAAGCAATGATATATAGATGGACAAAACCTTTGTTTTTCACACCCTGGGTATAATAATATTTATACACGTATTATGTCATAATTTTCATGAAATGGAAATAATATGGTAAAAGGGATTGATGATGTGGTCCATTATTTGGTGACGAGTTAGTTACCTAGAGGATTCAGCATATTGTTGATCACCACTTCAGCATTGGGGCGTTACTAGCTTCAAAACATGCTTGGTGGGAGATCTACTTATCAATGATTCGAGTTTATATACATTTCACTATTTGACACTGGTCCAGGACCCGAGCATGACGTCACCAACATCAACTTGGAATTGTGACTTAGAAGAGCGTCGTCAACAAGAATAAGAACAACAGTAACATGATGAGCATCTATTTGGGCCCAGTACCTGGACCAATCATTTTATTGTAAAAAAAAACTTACTTTTCTGATTGCTTCTTTCCAAGCACCCTTCCACTCTTTCAACACCTTTTCTACAGTTACAGCATCATCCATAATAATGACTTTATCACCTATTTTTAATTCATCTTCCGCCGATCTAGTTATATCTACAAATTAAAAAAACCCCACAGTGTTTTAAGGGTTTATGTGTGCAGCATTCGAACAGTGGATCACCGCGGGCCCCTCAGTTTTCGGTAGGGGGTAGGGATGGAGGGATGGAGGGGGGGGGGGGGGCTATACCCCCTAAAACACATGTTTTTCTTTTACTTCGGTCATGAAATCAAACCATAAAACGTCAGAATGACCTATTTATATTTTCACCAAAATATTGAACCATTTGGGAATGATCGCCAAATGAATTTATTGGAATTGTATATAACTCTTTTGGTGCGATAGCCTCCAATTTTTCAATGAGCGACTTCATAAACCTCTGTACACCCAAGGGTCAATATGGGCATGGAAAATTTAGTCTTCACTGGCTACTAAATGCTAAAAATTTACTAGCCAGAACCAAAATTTTAGTAGCCAGAAATTACAATGCTATTAACTGTAGTCTGTAACGTAAATCACTACTAGATATTACGCGTTGTTTTTTTTAATCTGTGTCTGAGAGGAATCTTCCTTTTTTTTTTAAAGAAAGAGCTTAAAAGATTTTGTTTTTATTCATTTTATTAATATATAGGGAATAACTTTAATGTTTGGGTTAGAAAAATGGGTCAACAACATGCGTAGTCGGACATTTTGTACACATTGCCGTAAGTTAGAAGTTAGAACGATTTTCGGCATATGTAAGAAAATATATGAATGTCGTAAATATTGTCGTTAAATTGAAGTTATTTCCCCTAGTAAGTTCCGGTTTTACGAAGCGCTGAATAAACAAATTCAATTTTGTAAAAAAAAACTTTGTAATTATTTTAAAACGAGAAAAAAATCTTACAGTCGCCAGCTGGCGACTCAAGTGAAAATTTTAACTAGCCAGAAAATATATTTGGTCGCCATGGCGAGTGATTTAGTCGCCATGTAGAGCCTTGTCTACACCCTGTTCACATTATATTTCTTTCATGACACCTCCACCTCCACGTTTTATTTGTCCCGGTAACTTTAGTAATAAACAGACAGGAACATGGATATTGGACACACAGATCGCTACCATTAGCGTGGAACAAATGATGTACCTAAAATCGGAAGGTGCTCTGGAAAACAATGATGTTTTGTAGATTCTCCAATCAGTGTTAGGTCAACACGTCCGTCTCCACCAATTCTACAGTCTTTTCTAATTCCATTGCTCCATTCAATCAGTACACCACCTCTATATGACTTGGAACCCCACTTGGTCAATTTCTCAACAGTACCACTGCTATTATTGCCCCCTGAAATAAAACACCACAGCAAAATATTGCGATTGAAAGGAATTGATAAGGGGTTAATGTCTCCATAGAACTTTTTGAGACTAGCATAATATGACAAGTTTCCTTTCTATGGGTATGTGAGTGAGTGGATGGGTGGGTGAGGCGATATCGGAGTTTCCATCGACACCTCGCCACTTGACTAAATGACAGACCTAATAATCTAAAGCGCACGCTTCAGATCACTGGCGTCGCCCAGTCTAAATCTTATTTTACAATAAATCACTTACCATCATCATCGCCCCATTCCCAATCTAATCCTCGTGTTACGTCAGATCCTGGTAATATACCATGTAACCGGATCTTTTTACTTCTACCCTGGCTTGATACAGGTGTACTGATAAAGAACAAGAATATTAACCTGATTAAAATTACATGGTTTTTTTATTCGTCTTTTGTTTTGGTTTGTTTAACTTTCCATAACTAATATTATACCGAATCTGGAATTTTTCTATTGTTTTTTTTTATTTGACCTTTTACTTGTGTACTAAACACACCAAACTAAATTGTGTTGTTTTTTTTTTCAATTAAGCCAATACATCTACTGATCTATCTATTGATAAATTCACTGGAGTCTAGTACATAACACAGCCGACGCTGGCAGGAATTTCAGGATCCGCAGTCATCAGTGAAGTATGTAAAAAAGAAAACAATCCTATGGAAGAATAACGTTGCGAATATTATTTCAATGTTCACGGTGCAAAATGCAAATGTCAGCAGTTCAAAATACGTATTTTAGTTTTAAAATTTGCAATTTCCATTGCCCCACAATACCATTGTCACAGTGTTAAAATACAGAATACACTTTTTAATAATACAAGATACGTTATAATAGTTATTGTGCACATTACACTTCTCAATTATGCATTTTGCATTATAGACAAATGCATAATAGAACATTGGTATTGCGGAGCAATAGATATTGCCAATTGTAAAACTAAAATACGTATTCTGAACTGTTAACATAAGCGTTTTGCACTGTGGACATTGGAATAATATTGACAACGTTTTTCTTCCATAACATACATCCCAAACCATGAATTTCTAATTGTTTCATTAATTGAGATTATACGAATTCATATGAGAAGCGGCAGTAGTCAGTCCCATATCCTTCAAATATTTGGTTGTAATGTTTGCTTTATACTTACACTGTGGATACTTCCGTCATATATCTAAGGAACGTGTGATCACTGGAATGTCTCTGTTTCATGTAGCAAGGTGTGCACAGATCGAAATCATGACACTGTCGACATTTCCATCGAATTCCTACTATTGGATTTTCTTGACACGAATCACATGTAATTCCATTTTGAATAACCCCTAAAATAATGTAAGAAACTTCTAGATGTGTCGCTCATGTATCTTTAATACAGGCTAGGCAAATTGAAATGGTTATTCCTGTAGCTGTTGTAATTATCTTCTTTGACTGACATTTAGTAATTGAACATATATTAACTCAAGGTACAATTTTATGGATACACAATTACTGGGTTTTATAGTCTAAAATAGGTTTTATATCTTTCATGATTTTCTGTTTATTGAATTAATATATTTTTTTTAATTCCCTTGCATCAGCGACCACTCTTGTTCATTCATGCCCCCATTCATTCACATTTCTCTTTAAATTATTGTTTATCTATAGCTCAGGTTAATTGGTTTCCCAATACATCGATCATTATAAATAATAGGATCCCTCCCCCTTTTAATCCCTGTAAGAGTTTCCGCTGTGTATATTTAGTTGTAAATGGCCCCCTAAACAAAGGTGTTAAGTTTTAATAATATTCACGCCCCCCCCCCTTAATCCCTGTAAGAGTTTCCGCTGTGTGGGTTTTAAGTTTTAATAGTATTTGATTGTTATTTCTGTTGCATATTCTGTATATATTTGCCTACTATTCACATACCTGTTTTGTCTACGATATCACCCTTGGTGGAGGTAGACGTTTAACTCCAGAAATGAACGAACGAACACACCTGTTTGCTTGATAAAGACAAGAATATCCTCGTCGAAACGTCGCTTAGTATTAAACCCAGTAATTGTGTATCCATACTTAATTACTTGAACAAAATAGGATTACTAAATTTGATGGTTAACGACAAACTACGTAGCAGTTATTAACATTGTTTTAAAATAGAATATTAAATACGGATGCAATTTCCTTAGCTCTATAACGGATCTATTCACCTTATAATTCAAAATTGGATTTAAATATGGATATATATTAGTTATTCTAAATCATAATTATTGATTTACTCGCCTTACCTGTAGGGGCATTGTCGTATACGTACAGTTCATGTTTCCCGTCGGCTCCAGCTTTATATATTCCTTGGTTCCCTACATCCCAAACGACCTTCACCTTGGCTTTAGAAAGATAAGCAGCGACAACGGTTCCAAGACTGCCAGCGCCACTGTCTTCGGATTTGCCAGCCCAATCAGGACCACGTATAACTCTAGTTCCTACTGTCGACATCTCATGCTTGTATTCAGATACTCGTATTGAAATGTCTTATCTACCTTTAATTGAATCGTTCAGCCAGAGATGTAGATTTATCTAGAATCAGGAAGAGCAAACTGTGGTGTAATTACGTCCACTTGGCACAAACCAGGTTACTTCGGTATTAACATAATTATGGTACAGTTGTATTTCAATAATTCGCTTGCTAGTCGGGAGGGGGGGGGGGAGTAGCCTGCTCAGTGTTATGTACTAGCTTGGGATCGAAGCCACGTCAGTTGACTCGATGATTACCCCCTACTCCCCACCCCAAAGATTTTGGCGATTAACACGCTAATCCAAATTAAATTACAATTTCGTTTGTTGTCACACCATGTTGTGTAACATACTTTCTATCTCCACCATGTTCTGTCTGAGACAGATGTTTTATATTATAGTATAAACTATATTTACCCCCCAATCCCATATGATGCACTATTATATACCCGAGTCTTAAAATTCCCAATACCCATCACAAAATGTAGCACCATATACCAAAACAGATCAATTCATTGTTTAATAAACTCACATGAACTGAACACAGTTTACAAAGAAACTGAGCTGTGAAGATTTTATGGTGTTCTATTTCGGCCACTTCCCGCGTCGCGCGTTGCCGTTTTCAATGTTAAGCTATCGAGAAAAAAAAGCGACGTCGGCTTTTTAACACGACGTCGCCTTTTCTAAGGTGATGAAATGCGCATGTACCAGGATAATTCATTTGCAGTTTATTTGCCGTTTGGTATTTATCTTCAATACGGTAATTATGCTGGACACAGGGAACTGCCATTAATATCCTTTATATAACAATACATTTCTATAATACCCAGATTATATGTTATATTTTAAATCTCTGTTCTAAACAGAAATGTCTTGTTATATAATAGATTTCCATGGCAGTTCCTTGTGTCCAGCATAAATCAATGTATTGAAGAAAAAATACCAAACGGCAAATAAACTGCAAATGAATAACGGCAAAGATTTCGACATTTTTACGTTCTCCATGTTCACACTACGCGATGCAAGTTCGTAAATGTTGACATCTAAACGTTCAGTTGTTCTCTGATTCTCATAAAAGTAAGTGCAGGGGGATTGCACCACACAAAATTTACACAAAAACAAATACACGGACAAGACATCATACTCAGGAAAACACAAACAGACAGACAATTAAAAAAAGTGAAAAGTACGTCTGACCTACGCGTGAGTGTACTTGGTTTAGATATCATATTGTTATTTGACATACTTTATATTCAATACAAATATGCTAACACAAACCCTGAGAATGTACAACGTGTTTCTATTTAGACATGTATAAACAAGTAACAATAAAACATCGTATAGGTAAGTCTCGATTATTTCAGCCTATTTTGTCTCAGCTTCAACTAATAATCGAGACTATGAATAAGTAAACAAGCTAAACGCATAAACATGGCATAAAATATTGACAACTCGCTTCGAGACAGAGGTGAATTGTTTTGTTTTGTAAAAATTAATTTTCACTCTAGTCAAACATTAGAAAATTCTTGGAAAATGTATTGTCAAAACCAATTGCAAAAATAGATTTTGGGTTTTACTTAAGTGAAATAATTCCGCATTCTGATATTAAGCTATACTCCAGAATATCATCACATAATGGACTAAATGAAATCAGATGAACTAATTAAGATATTTAGATATCCGATTATAAGTAACGGTTCCATGATTGCATATTTGACAAGACGACCCCCCTCCCCTCCACACTCAGAAGAGAGAGAGAGAGAGAGAGAGAGATGGGGTTTAACGTCCACTCGACACAAACTAGGTCATTTCGGGACTAACATATTTCAATGATTCGCTTGCACGTAGGGGTCTTTAGTAGTGGGAAGAAACCGGAGGACCCGGAGAAAACCCACGGGGTTGGACAGGCGACCCTACTTCATGTCACGTACAACCGGGGATTCGAAACCACGCCAGTTGACTCAATGACAGGCCTCATGATACAGCACGCAGGTGCTAACCATTCGACTATCCACCCCCCCTCCCCCCACTCAGAAAAGAGAGACCCCCTCCCCGCTCCACCAAACGCACATACCGACACTGCTAGTCCTCAAATGATCTTCGTCAATATTTCATTCAACCATGTTATTTCAATGTATCATTGATATCAAATGTACACATACCTAAATAATGGTTATATTTTTTAGGAATAACTTTCAATCTATCCGCAATTTAAAACAAAAATCTGAATTACATTAATTCTAGGAAATCATAATTGACAGAAATGTTCAACTTACCACGTAAACTTTAACTATATAGGATCTCTTTTTAAAAACTTCCTCATTAAGCGAAACTAATAGCAGCCCAATGACGTCCTTCCTACCCACAATGCATAACGTATCGATATAGGTTAGCGTTGTCAAATATTCTATGCAGTCAACGTTCACTATAGATAAATCGTCGCTGTGACTGTGGTGAAAGACGTACAAGTAGATAGCACATGTACAAGCTTTATAGTATTTATTAAATGATATAAGACTATGTGGCTATGGTAACTGGGCGCAGTGGATTCAGTCGAAATTAATAAATCTGACAGGAAATCAGAGTACCCGGGGAAAACCCACGAAGTTAGGGAGATAGCCCTTCAGAACCCATAGACTTGATGGATAACGAGCACTAAGATATACTGGGAGCCCATTATACACACACCAGTATACTATACCTACCCTTGGTACATATGGATTACTTGATGGCCATATATATTAAATATCAGTATAATATTTAATAAATAAATGTCAATACAAACATTAATATCTATCAAAATTTCAGACATAAATAAAATTAGTTTCAATTTAGAAAATGCAGTTGCTTCCCCTGAATAGCTGAGCGTTTATTTGCAGTCGTAACGAAATGCTAGTAAATGAAGAACCCCGACCGAAAGACAATTCGCGCCCTTGGAATTGCATTATAGTAGGGTGCACCATGCACCCACAATTTTCCCTACAGAAAGTTGAACTCGACACGGCGAATGTGCACGCTTCAGTGCCTTGTCTCGAAATGATTTCTGGCTAGTCACACGGTTCGATAACACTCAGGACAAGAGTCTATGAGTCTATAAATAGTCATAGTACGTGAAATTCTCTACACATCTATCGACTATTACAGCCTACAGGTACATGGGACAGGCACGCCCTTATATGGTGCACCCATGCTATATGTCACATGTGATTTTTTCAAATTATTTTCTGAGCTTTTTTCTTAATATTTTTCAAATTTTTTAATCTTCTTTATTTTTCTTCCTATTTGGTGCTAAATCATATAATATTTACTATCAAACATATTCGTATAAAAAAAAATATACCTTCTGATGTATCTAATAAAACAGAAAGGTAAGACACTTTTCTGTTGACATTTTCTTCTCCGTGAGGTACCCCTGTCGCTATTTAATTCGAAATCGTGAATAAAATTGTCTTGCCTTACAAATCAACCACTCGGTTCCTTTCGATAAAAACACATATTTCAATTTTTTTTTAAAATGCTAAGTCAGTTTATTTGCCATAAATCACTCGAGATTTTTTTACAATTCATCGACATTTTCAATTAGTTCAGTAGAAATGACGGAAGTAGTAATAAGGGAGACAACTCTGTCAACTGGCCGGAATGGACCGGTATTACGAAAAGGTGTGTCGAATGAAAAATAACCAAGTTGTGTCCATTTGAAACTAAATTAAACGCATTTGTTTGACATTCATCCATTTTCCCCACAGACAGTTTTTGTCACAGTGTTTTACAATATCCCTGTCCGCATGCACCTGTGATTTTCTCGTATTTTTATTCGGCCTACCTGTTCTTAACGCCGATTTATTCGGGCCAGTTGACAGAGTTGTCTCCCGTATTACCACTTCCGTCATTTTTATTCAACTTGTTCAAAATGTCGATGAATTGTAAAAAAAACTCGAGTGATTTATGGCAAATAAACTGACTTAGCATTTTTGAAAAAAATTGAAATATGTGTTTTTATCGAAAGGAATATATATCGAAAGGTACCGAGAGGTTGAATTTTAAGGCAGGGCAATTTTATTCACAATTTTGAATTAAATAACAACAGGGGTACCTCACGGAGAAAAAAATGTCAACAGAAAAGTGTTTTACCTTTCTCTTTTATTATATACATCAGAAGGTATAATTTTTTTTTCGTGATACGAATATGTTTGATAGTAAATATTATATGATTTAGCACGAAATAGGAAGAAAAATAAAGCAGATTAAAAAATTTGAAAAATATTAAAAAAAAAACCCAGAAAATATTTTAAAAAAATCAGATATGTGCACCATATAAGGGCGTACCTGTCCCCATGTACCTGTGTTACAGCCGTAAAAAAATCTATTGTTGACAATTCTGAATAGCAGTAATATTTAGCTTTTTGGTTATTACAGCAGCTTTAGAAATTACGTTCGTTTTATTTTTTAAATTGCTTTATCATTAACTATACCGTTAGGAGCGGCATCTTTTCGTTTAGTAGAAATAATATCTCCGAAACACTCGAATTAGGCCAGAACATGATACTAGCAGTAGTTTTATTTTACTTTTACAAGGTTCTTAAAACAATTGTTGAGTTGCCTAACGTGCGTGGTTCTAAATTCAATTTCTTGTTCCAGCTTTCTGTTATGTTTCGTAAAAAAGTAATCTTGATTATCCCGGCCTGTCAATCAGATGGAGAATGGTCGGTAGACTGGTTAAGCGAGACTAATTTCAAAATAAGGGCACGTAACCTATTTTTTACTCAAAAGTGCCCTGATGTTATGGCCGACACTCGTAACCATTTTTCAGTCTATTATTTATTGATGGTTAAATAGTCATAGCTTATTAAGTAAAACATGGCCGTTTATATAGTGAATATAAATGTGCGAAACTGATTTAAGGTTTGCTATATATATATAATTATTGTGGTGTAATTGTCGAGATATTTGGAGATATTTATTTATGGTGGGGTACCCTGATTATAGGTCATTTACGTTCGCGGACGTTGACTGTAAATCAAGTTATATCAAACAAATCCATAGATTCTTCAAATTGTTTAATTCTCAAGGATGTAAACTGATCAAGCTGTACGATTCTGCTTTCTCTAAAACATAAAAATATAATATTTTGTAATCGATAATCCTTTCTTATCCCTAGATACAAATAATAAAATAAAATGAAATAAAATTAAATATATATCCGACGAGTGAACATTGTTACTAATTCTTTACTTTCCAGATACTCGCATTTGTTTCTGGCACATATCGTCTGAGGATTCATATTATTCTGTCATAGTCTTTTTTTTTGTGAAGCATCTTACATGTAGGTCCACATTTTCAGAATCACTTCACGCAAAAATGGAATAAAAAAGTTTAATTCTATGATGCAATGCACATGCTGTATACTAATTAGCATGGAATTCTCATTATACAATCATTATTTGACACTAGTCACTATAAGATATTAAAATAGCTAATTAGAGTATAGTTGTTGGCATACACCTACAGATAACAAGCAGAGGAATTTCAACTATGTTCTATTACAAATAGTACAAATTAAAGACACCATGCACTCTTCTATAAATCACTAAATCTCTTTGGTTTGGGTTAAAAAAAATAAACAAAACAGACGATTTCATTGCATTTTATATGTCGAATTGTTTAGTGGGGTGGTAATCTGTCGTCTTTGAAAATTTTACGTTCAGAGATTAA